TAGGTTCCCTATTGAAAGCTTATAAGACAGTCACTTCTTGCCTTTGTATCTCCCCCATTTTGGGTAGCCAATGTCTTAAGTTCCCCATCCTTGTTGACCCTGTGTACCAAGGGGGTGGGACTGATTTGTTGGCTCCTTTGTCATACTGTATCCACAAGCATAGCTCAAGTTCTAATTGTCCTGGGTTACTCTTTTTTTTTTTTTCCTCTTCTTACTTCCTCTAGTCGTGTTCTGATCATCCAGCCATTGATGCCAGGTCATATGGGTACTATCTGCAAGTGTGAGTGTTCTTGTGCATCTCCCATTACTTCTTCTCAGCTGGATGCTTCACAATCCGCTCTAGTCCTCTGGGGCCAGGTCCCTGCCCCTGGGCCCAGGTGTCCCCAGGTCTCATCATACTTCTGGTTAACTGCTGGTTAACCAGCTCTCAATGCAAGTTAACAGGAGTCTATTGAATGTGCTCAGACTTAGCACACTGGGTATATGATTCTTGATTGGCAGTTTTTTTCTTTCAGCAGTTTGTATGTGTATCTCATTGTCTTCTTGCCTGCGTGGTTTCTGAGAAATCAAAACTTAACCTTATTAGTTATGCTTTATAAAAGGTCATTGTTTTTCCCGAGCTGAGTTCAGGATTCTTTCCTTGTCTTTGGTTTTTGAAAATGTGATTATGATTAAGTCCTGGTGATTTTCTTTGGTGATCTTTTCTGTTTGGGGTTTATTCCGTTTCTTGTATGTTTATCTTCTTATCTTTCTTGATGTTAGGGAAGTTTTCTTCCAACAACTCTTCGACGATTTTTCTCTGTTCTTTTTATTGTCTCTTCCCGTTCTAGAATTCTAGTCACCCAGAAGTTGTTCTTCTTTCTAGTGTTCCACATAATTTGTAGCTTTTCTTCAGATTTTTTCATTAATTTGGGCTTCCACTGCTGTTGATTTACTCCTTTGCCTTTTCAACGTATTGTTCATTTCTGAAATCTTAGTTTTGATCTTCCGGATTTCTCATTGCAGATTTGGTATTGTCTCAAAACTTGCATTTATTTTATGTTTGTTCTTTTTATGTGGTGTTTTCCTGAATTCTTCTAATTTTTTTCTATGTTCTCCTTGTTTTCCTCAGTCTTTGTGTCAATCCTTTGAAGGTACCTAAATAATCATTCTTCATTCTTTTTTTTTTTCCAGTTAGTTCTGTGACCTTTTCTTCCTCAGAAATGTTTTCTGACTCTGCATCTTGGTCATTTGTTTGAGCCATTCTCTTGTTTCTTCATGTGAGCTAACATTGTCTGTTGTCTCCAGGACATTTGGGGGTTGTTGTATTTGCATTTAATTGATGACTGTATGCTGATGTGTTTATGTGCCCTCACCAACTGTCTCCTGTGGGTGTAGTTAGAGAATGGAAGCGTGTATACTGTTCTCGTTTGTGCATGACAATGTAGGGTGGGTTCTGCTGCTGTTGGCTGCTGTTTGTCATTGGTCAGGTGGTATAAGAGCTGGTATTGACGCTTGTCTAGTGGGTGGAGCACAGGTTGTGGCTGGGCTGTATGAGCATAGTTGCTGTCTCCTGTCGGGTCCACACACACACAAGAAAACAAAACAGAATTAACAAAAGAAGAGCCAATACTAAAAAAAAAGAAGAAATAAAACAAGCAGCAAGAGAGCGAAGCGTGCAGCTGATGTGAAGTGAGAGGAGACGCACAAGAATGCTCAAGCTTGCAGATAGATAGTACCCATTTGAGCTAGCTTTGATGACTTGATGATCAGAACTCAACGAGAGGAAGATAAAACAATTTTTAATAAAGGAAACAAGTGTATATTGCTACAATTTGAAGAACTTGACCTACATTTATGGATGTAGTAACTCAAAATACCAACTGAGAGGGAAGGAGTCTTCATATCAAGGATCAGTCCTATCCCCTGATCCTTGTACACTGGGTTGATAGGGATGGGCAACTTAGACATTGGCTACCAAAAATGGGGAGGCTATAAAGGCACGAAGGGACTAGTTTACAAGTCCACCACTGAATAGTTTTCATGTTGTCTATGCGGGTCTGGAGAAAGGCGATGGGGATCAGATTCTTATGATTCAGTAGTGAGTGATTGTTATCATGACTAATTGTGACTGTCACAATTGTAAATATAGAAGTTTTGTAACAAAAAGTTGAGAGAAGTTAATCTGACAGTCTAGGAATAGAGGACCCTAGAACCATCAAGGGAGAAGAGCATGAACGGAATGTGGGACCTTATCCAGAGAAGCAGCGACACCAGAGATGGAGGCAGAGATGAGGACATGGAGAGATAGAGCAGCTGAGGACTCTAGACTCATGGAAAGAGAAACGCTGTGTGCTGGTGGCCAGGAGGCAGGCTTGCAGAATGTGCCCTTTGGTTGTTTAAATGATTATATATTCCTGAGTGCTTTGGGGTACATTGGAAAAAAACAGAGGGAATAGAAACAAATACTGTTGGATGCATGGAGGGGATTGTAATCATTGCAATGAAACGAAATATGATAGGTTGAGTGTAAAACTGATGTTCTCTCATGTAAACTATCACTCAGTTCCCAATAACAGCTTAAACTTTTTTTTTTTTTAATTAAAAAAAAATTGTGAAAGCTGAAAGTCTAAAAAAACACAACAAGCAACAACCAGGAACAAAGAATGTAAGTAAAAGACAAAAGAGACATAGAAATGGAACTGCAGAAGAGAAAAATAATAAGAGAGGAAATAAAAGGAAGAAATAAAAATAAAAAAATCTTAGAAAAATCAGGCAGAGGGAAGATGAAAAGAGAAAGCAGTAAAGAATGAGCAAAAGGGGAAAAAGGGAGGAAATGAGAAACAGAAGAAGATAAGGAGATCCCAAAGTGGAGATAGAAAGGACAAAATTCAGGGGAGTGGCAAAAGAGGAGAGACCAAACAAATAAAACACAAACCCCAAAATCATACAAAAGCAGTGCAGCTGTTGGACCTGCAGACCACGGAGCTCATAGGGTGGGTGTGCGAGGGACGTGACAGCCGAGTTGCTGGCCCTAGATGGTGTTCCTGTTTGTGTTCAGGGCACTCAGTCTGGAAGTGGTTCATGGAGACCCTTGATGGAACTAGTGTAAGTGTCTGTTAGGGCAGCTGTGGGCAGGGTAACTGGTTACATGCTGGTCTGGTGAATCTGTGGGTTCTGTAGATCTGGAGCCGAGTCCACCTGAATCCAGTCACCAAAGTGTCACAGTTGTCCCCTGCCTCCCACTGGCGTGGCTCTGAACTCTCCAAGAGCGGAGACTGCACTGGGGGTGGATGAGGGTGGGAGTTGGCCACATTTCTGGTCACCAGGGAAGTGTGGGGAAAAGAAAGGATCACACTTTTCCTTCACCTGTGTGGATCTGCTCTGCCAGGCCACCTTCTGTTGCCAAACACAAGATGGCTGCATCGGGTCTGGCCGTTCATCACCATTCAGTCTTCCTCTTTCAGCATCCCTGCTCAGCTTCTCCTCCCAGCAGGCACTCTGAACTTGAGGGGTCTGAGTTTTCGTCAGTGTCTGTTTCATTTGGTCTCTATCTTTGGTGTAGAGGGTCTGTGTAGTATGGCTGCGTGTTGCTGGATCTATTAGCTCAGTGCCTTCTTGTGGTCTGTTTCACTCCAGGTTAAAGTGTGGTGCTGTAGGATAAGCTCTAGACCTCGAGGTCAGTTTGAACTGCAAGGTCGGCTGTTCAAATCCACCAGCTACTCCTCAGAAACTCTATACAGGGTTGCGATGAGTCAGAACTGACTTGATAGCAATTACATAACAATGAAACTTGCATAACCTAAAATCCACTGCTTTATGACCATTTTGTACAATTTTACACCACAGTGTACATTCAACATCCAATTCCAGAAAGATTTCCTCAGCCCCAAGGGAAGCCCGCCCTTGATCCCCAACTCCTCAACTGCAGCTCTAAGCCACCAGTGACCCAGTTCCTTTCTGTGTGGCCCTGGCCTCTTCTGGACATTGACATCAGTGCAGTCAGACACCACGTGGCCTTCTGTGTTTGACTTCTTGAATTGAGCACAGTCTTTTCCCAGTTCACCCACGTTGTAGCATGGGTCATGGGTCAAGACTTCACTTCTTTCTGTGACTGATTAATTAACATGCTTCACTGCTGACCAGATAGCTGGCAGTTCTAGTTTACCCACAGGCACCTCAGAAGAAAGGCTTGGTGATCAAATTCTGAAAAACAAGCCTCTGAAAACCCAGTTTTACTTAGACCTATGGGATTGCCTTGAGTAGACTTGCCAGTGACTTGTTCATTGTCCTCTATATGGATGGGCAGGACACCTGGTGTGGCGCTGTGGTTAATGTGCTGGACTGCAAAGTCAGGTTGAACCTCAAGGTTGGCAGTTGAAGCTTACCAGCCGCTCCTCAGAAACCCTATACAGGGTCATTATGGGTCAGAACTGACTCAACAGCACTTAACAACAACAACAGTATGGATTCGCAAGGAGCTCTGGTGGTATAGTATTTATGAGTCGGGCTATTAACCTCAAGGTTAGCTGTTTGAAACTACAGGAGAAAGATGAGGTTTTCTGCTCCCATAAAGATTTACGGATTTGGAAAGTCCGTGCAGGGTCGCAGAGTCTGAGTCAACTCCACAGCACATAACAGCCACTGCCACCGTATGGAAAGGCCGCCTAGTGTTTACCCACTTACCTGCGGGTAGAGTGTATCTTTGTAAAAGCTGTGTGTCTCTCTGTCTCTTGACATTAATTATTTAGGAAAGTGCTTTCTCAGATTGTCCGCTAGATGTGGCCGTACTGTGAAACAGCACCTTTCTACTCAGGGCGTTTGCCCAAGGTCCAGGCCCGATCGTGGCAGAGCTGAACCTGCTGTCCTGTGCCCTAACCCCTCTCGGGTCTGAGTGTCCCCCATCTGTAAAGCTAGTGGACACCGCGCTCTGAGTGTCCCCCATCTGTAAAGCTAGTGGACACTGTGCTCTGGGGTGCCTTCTGAGAACATGGTGATAATACACAATGTCCACTCCTCAGCCCTTAAGCTCCTCAGACAGCGAAGCCCCCAACGCTGACCCTGTGGGCGGGAGTGACGCCGACGAGGACGGTGAGAATCGGGGGGTCATGGCTGTCACTGCTGTGACTGCTTCAACCACCAGTGACAGGATGGAGAGCGACTCGGACTCAGACAGGAGCAGCGACAACAGTGGCCTGAAGCGGAAAGCCTCAGCAGTAAAGGTAGGGAAGGGGCTTGTGTGGGCCGGGGTCCTGAGCGAGGTGTCAGTAAAGGTAGGGAAAGGGCTTGTGTGGGCCAAGGATCCTGAGTCAGGCTTCAGCGCTGCCTTCTCACACACTAAAGCCTCGGTCGGCAGCTTGCTTTATCCTTGTCTTCCTTTTTTTTTTACATGTATGCATTCTAAAAAGTGAGATACCATTCACGTATAAAACTCACCCTTTCGCAAAAGTATAGTATTTGTTTTTAGTGCACCATCCTCGTTGCCACTGTCTAGCTCCAGAACATTGTCACCACCCTAGAAAGACACCTGGTGCCCGGGAACTGTCACTCCCCATTCCATACTGCCTTCAAGCCCTAGGAAACCACTAATCTACTTTCTGTGTCTACAGATTTGCTGGTTCTAGAGGTTTCATTATGGGGTTTTTGGTAACTGGCTATTCACTGAGCATAAAGTTCAAAGTTCATTTACATGCAGTGTGTATTAATGCTTTTCATTCATCTTTCTAGCAAATAATTTTCCATTGTATGGAGAGACCCCAGTTGGTTTACCCATTTAGCAGTGAATTAATAAACACGTCCATAGTTTCCATTCTTGGCTGTCATGACAAATAGCCGTGTACCCATTTCTTTGTGGACATGTGTTCTCATCTCTTTGGGATATATTCTTTCCCTCGCCTTTTATGATTTCTAAATATTTGGGTGCATCAGCATTCGTAACAAAAGTTTTAAAAATCAGGAAAAAAAACAAAGGCTGGCGAGGGTGTGGAGAGATTGGAAGGCTCCTCGTGGCTGGTGGGACTGTAACGTGGTACCACCACTATGGAAAACAGTATGGTGCTTCCTTACAAAGTTGCCAGTAAAAACACCGATCCACTACTTGCTGTATAGCCTGGGGAAATAAGCGAGGCAGCAGGAAGAGATGCGCGCTCACTCAAGTTCGTGACAGCACCATTCACAGCAGCAGAAAGATGGAGACGACGACGTAAACGCCCATCAGTGAAGAGTGGATACACAGACTGTGGAATACTAAGGAAAGCACCTCACAACATGAGTGGACCTGGAGGACATTGTGCTAAGGAAAACTAGTCAATCAGAAAAGGACAAGTATTGTATGAGACTACTACTATAAAAAGTCAAGAACGGTTTTCACGCTAAAAGAAACATTCTTTGATAGTTCATTACCAAGGGTGGGAGGGTAAATCGGTAACTGTTGCTATGTTCCGTCGAGTTGGTTCTGACTCATGGTGACCCTGTGTAGAGTTTCCAGAGCTGGACTGTACATCTTTGCAGGAGCAGAAAGCCTCATATTTCTCTTGTGGAGCTGCTGAGAGGGTGAAACTGCTGACATTATGGTCCACAGCCCGTTGCTTATCATACAGTTAGTTCTACTGCGCTCCAATTGCTAGCTGTTGTTGTTAAGTGCCATGGAATTGGTTTTGACTCATAGTGACCCTGTATGGGGTTTCCAAGGCTTTAAATCTTTTTTTGATGGGAACAGAAAGCCTCATCGACTGCAGACCTGTGGTTCTTAGCCCAGTACTTATCCTGTGGAGCCACCACGTTCCATGACTAGCTTTTGTTGTATGCAGTTGGGTCAGTTGATAGAGGGTAAAAAATAAGATGAATATTTGGGTGCAGAAGGCAAGGCCCAGGTCAGATCAACAAATTCTTTTGGTTAGACGTTGTTTGTACTGTTCTTTGAAATGTGTGTCCTTGGATAGGGTAGAGGTGCATCATCAATACCCCGGAATACCAGACGAAGTGGGTTCAGGGCAGAGCTCCAAAACTCTGAACCACATATCTAGGAATACTGAAAAAGTTTGAAGGTTTATAGCTAGTGGAATGTCTAGCGGAAGTTAAGAAATCTCGTACTTTAGAATTTGCCGGGCTCGGAGGCCCAGAGTCGACAACTAGGGCGAGACTCAACGGCAAGACCAAGTGGGGGAGCAAGCAGATTCATCATGGAATTACGTTGTGGGAACCTCGGAGCAAAGGTGGACAAAATACTTTGTCAGTTTTGCTTTGTTCTGATTTTTTTTTTTTTTTTTTTGGTATCTGTTCATTGGCACCCCCACTGTTTGTGCACCTCCATTCTGGTGACTAGATGGGGTGCCTAAGTGAGTGGACATCCCCCCCAGCCCACCACTGGTGGGTTCTTCTGCCATGCATGCACACAGATACTCTCAGCATTTGCAGAAACAGGCAGCCCAGCAGCCAGCTCTGAACTGTGTATTAATAGGGAAAAGGCCAGAGCAAAGGGTGTGAAAGTTTACAAACAAAACAGGCCGAAAATGAACTCCTGAGCTACAGTATAACAACCAACAGAGGCAGCTTGAAATTGATCAGGTGGCCCTGAGGGTAAGAAGCTGAGAGAGGATATTAAAATCATACTCATATTAGGCTACAGATATTTTTTCTTTTTCTTCTCTCCCTCCTCTCCCATTTCTGCGATTATAGACGACAATATCCAATCTCGTGGTTTTTTTTTTCTTGTTTCTTAATTTTTGCTGTTGCGGTTTTGTTGTTTTTTATTCCCCCTTTTACCTTTGGGGGGACTCTATCTCCCTGTAGTACCCAAGAAGAGACAGCAATTGCTGCCATACAGTCAAGCTACAATCACAC